TTTCTTTCTTTCTTTCTTTCTTTCTTTCTTTCTTTCTTTCTTTCTTTCTTTCTTTCTTTCTTTCTTTCTTTCTTTTCTTTTCTTTTCTTTTCTTTTGAGATGGCGTCTCGCTCTATCACCCAGGCTGGAGGAAAGTGATACAATTTCAGCTCACTGCAATCTCTGCCTCCTGGACTCAAGCGATCCTCCTACCTCAGCCTCCTGAATAGCTGGGACCACAGGTGTAAGCCACCATGCCTGCCTAATTTTTTGTATTTTGGGTAGAGATGGAGTTTCACCATGTTGCCCAGGCTGGTCTTGGACTCCTGAGTTCAAGAGATCCGCCCTCTTCAGCCTCTCAAAGTGCTGGGATTACAGGCATTAGCCACTGTGCCTGGTCTGCAAGTGATTTCTTAAATTTTTTATTTATTTAATTTTTTAGAGATATGGTCTTGCTATGTTACCCAGGATGGACGGGAATTCCTGGGCTCAAGTGATCTTCCCACCTCACCCTCCTGAGTAGCTGGGATTACAAGTACGTATCATCGCACCTGGCCTATGATCAAATGATTTTTTTTTTTTTTTTTTTTTTTACATAGGGTCTTGCTCTGTTGTCTAGGTTGCAGTGCTGTGGTGCAATGCAGTCTTAAACTTGATCAGGCCAGGTGCAGTGGCTCAGGCCTGTAATCCCAGCACGTTGGGAGGCTGAGGCAGGTGGATCACCTGAGGTCAGGAGTTCAAGACCGGCCTGGCCAACATGGTGAAACCCCGTCTCTACTAAAAATAAAACAAATTAGCCGGATGTGGTGGTGCACACCTGTAATCTCAGCTACTTGGGAGGCTGAGGCAAGAGAATTGCTTGAACCTAGGAGGCAGAGGTTGCAATGAGCCAAGATTATGACACTGTACTCTAGCCTGATTTTTGACAAGAATGCCAAGACCATTTAACGGGGAAAGGACAGGTTTTTGTTTGTTTGATTTTTGTTTTTTAAACAAATAATGCTGGGAAAACCGGATATCCACATGTAGGAGAATAAAGTTGAACCCTTACCTAACACTATATCCAAAAATTAACTCAAAATGGATCAAAGACCTAAATGCAAGACCTAAACTTTTGGCCGGGCGCGGTGGCTCAAGCCTGTAATCCCAGCACTTTGGGAGGCCGAGACGGGCGGATCACAAGGTCAGGAGATCGAGACCATCCTGGCTAACATGGTGAAACCCCGTCTCTACTAAAAATACAAAAAACTAGCCGGGCGAGGTGGCGGGTGCCTGTAGTCCCAGCTACTCGGGAGGCTGAGGCAGGAGAATGGCGTAAACCCGGGAGGCGGAGCTTGCAGTGACCTGAGATCCGGCCACTGCACTCCAGCCTGGGCGACAGAGCAAGACTCCGTCTCAAAAAAAAAAAAAAAAAGAAAAAAAGAGAAATTGGACCCTTGTGCACTGTTGGCAGGAATGAAAAATGGTGCAGCCATACAGAAAACAGGATGGCAGCTTCTCAAAAAATTAAAAACAGAATTGCCATGTAATCCAGCAATTCCACTTCTGGGTATATACCCCAAAGAATTGAAAACAAGGTCTCAAAGAGTTATTTGTACACCCATGTACATAGCAGCATTACTCACAATTGCTAACATGTGGAAACAATGCAAGTGTCCATGGATGGATGAATGGATAAGTGGATAAGTGTCTTAGTTGCTTTGTGCTGCTCTAACAGAATACGTGAGACTGGGTAATTTATAAAGAACAAAGATTTGTCTCTTACAGATCTGGAGGCTAGCTGGGAAGTCCAAGATTGAGGGGCCCACATCTGGCAAGGGCCTTCTTGCTGCATCATCTGATGGTGGTAGGCAGAAGGGCAAGAGACCATGAGCGAGAGAGAAGGGGGCCTGATCCTCATCCTCTTATCAGGAACCAGCTATCAAAACAACAGCATTAATCCGTTCATGAGGGTAGACCTTTTGTGATCTAATCATTTCTTGAAGGTCCCACTTTTCAACACCAGTGAATTGGGGATTAAGTTTCTTATACATGCCCATGTGTGGTAGCTCATATCTGTAATCCCAACACTTTGGGAGGCTAAGAAGGGAGAATCGCTTGTACCCAAGAGTTCAAGGCCAGCCTGGGCAACATAGTGAGACTACATCTCTACAAAATAAATGAATAAATAATAAACGAATAAAAATAAAAATTAGCCAGACATGGTAGCAGGTACCTGTAGTTCCAGCTGCTAGGGAGGTTGAGGCGGGAGGATCACTGAGCCTAGGAGGTTGAAGCTGCAGTGAGCTATGATTGCACCACTGCTCTCCAGCCTGGACAACAGAGTGAGATCTTGTCTCAAAAAGAAAGAAGGCTGGGCATGAAGACTTATGGTCGTAATCACAGCATTTTGGGAGGCCAAGGTAGGTGAATTGCTTGAGGCCAGGAGTTCAAGACCAGCCTGTCCAACACAGCAAAACTCCATCTCTACTAAAAATACAAAATTTAGCCGTGCGTGGTGGTGTGCGCCTCTAATCCCAGTTACTCGGGATGCTGAGGCACAAGAATCACTTCAATCTGTGAGGCAGAAGCTGCAGTGAGCCAAGATCATGCCACTGCACTCCAGCCTGGGCAACAGAGTAAGACTTTGTCTCAAAAATAAAAAATAAAAAAAAGGCCGGGCACGGTGGCTCACACCTGTAATCCCAGCACTTTGGGAGGCCGAGGCGGGCGGATCATGAGGTCAGGAGATCAAGACCATCCTGACTAACATGGTGAAACCCCCTCTCTACTAAAAAATACAAAAAAAAATTAGCTGGGCGTGGTGGCAGGCGCCTGTAGTCCCAGCTACTTGGGAGGCTGAGGCAGGAGAATGGTGTGAACCCGGAAGGCAGAGCATGCAGTGAGCCAAGACCAAGCCACTGTACTCCAGCCTGGGCGACAGAGCGAGACTCCGTTTCAAAAAAAAAAAAAGAAAACAAAACAAAAAGTTTCCAACACATGAACTTTGGGGGACACGTTCAAGCCATAGCAATAAGCAAAATGTTGCATATTCCTACAAAAGAATATTAATCTGCCTTTAAAAGCAGAGAAATTCTGTAATGTGTTACATACAATATGGATGAATTTTTTTTTTTGTTTTTTTTTTTTTTTTTTTTCTGAGACAGAGTTTCACTCTTGCCCAGGCTGCAGTGCAGTGGTGCAGTGGTGCAATCTCAGCTTACTGCAACCTCCGCCTCCTGGGTTCAAGCAATTCTCCCGCCTCAGCCTCCTGAGTAGCTGAGATTACAAGCATGTGCCACCATGCCTGGCAAATTTTTGTATTTTTAGTAGAGATGGGGTTTCACCACTTTGGCCAGGCTGGTCTTGAACTCCTGACCTCGGGTGATTTGCCCACCTTGGCCTCCCAAAGTACTGGGATTACAGGTGTGAGCCACCATGCCCAGCAACATGGATGAACTTTAAGGACTTTATGCTAAGTGAAATAAGCCAGTCACATAAAAAATAAACACTATATGATTCCACTTATATGAAGTACTTAGAGTAATCAAAATCATAGAACCAGAAAGTAGAATAGTAGTTGCCAAGGGTAAGGGGAGTGGGGAATGGGGAATTATTGTTTAATGGATAGTTTCAGTTTTTCAAAATGAAGAGTTCAGAAGTTGGAGGGTGGTGATGACTGCACAAAATTATGAATGTACTTAGTACTACTCCATTGTACACTTAAGAATGGTTAAGATAGGCCGGGCGTGGTGGCTCATGCCTGTAATCCCAGTACTTTGGGGGGCCAAGGCAGGTGGATCACTGAGGTCAGGAGTTTGAGACCAGCCTGATCGACGTGGCGAAACCCTGTCTTCACTAAAAACACAAAAATTAACTGGGCATGGTGGTGCATGCCTGTAATTCCAGCTACTTGGGAGGCTGAGGCAGGAGAATCACTTGAACCTGGGAGGCGGAGGTTGCAGTGAGCCAAGATCGTGCCACTGCACTCTGGCCAGAATGACAGAGCGAGACTCCGTCTCAAAAACAACAACAACAACAACAACAACAAAATAAACCCCAAAAGAACATCACGTGCCCTCATTTGGAGAAAGAGCAAAAAAACCCCATCATGATTGCCCCTGGCAATCTGGAGGCAGGAGAATGGTAAGAGGGACTTCTACACGTGAGGCAAGAGCAAGATGACGGAAGAGGGACTGAAAAGACCAAGGTTATACTAAAATTGGAATGTGCTAATATGCTAAAAAATTGGAATGATACAGAGAAGATTAGCATGGCCACTGTGCAAGGATGACATGCAAAAAATAATTGAAAAAAAAAAGTAAAAAAGGTAGAGGTCCCAGAAGCCAAGAATTGAGGCTGAGGCTGCATAAACGTGAGATCTCATGCTAGGAATCAGGAGCTAGGAGTCAGTCTCCAGGTGTCAAAACCAGGCTCTTTCGTCTCCTCCTCCTCCGCTTGTGGTGACAGAGGGTCCCTTCCTGCTGATTATTTTCAGATGTGGGTGCAAATCTGAATCAATGTAGAGACATCAGCAATCCACTGGCAGAGCATCAGGTGAATTGAGCAGGTAGGCAGAGTTGGAGAATAGGTACGAGTGAGTCCTGGGAGGAATGTTCCTAGGGGCAGATGGAGAAATTGGGTAGAGGCCCTTTAATAAACACAGAAAGGCTTTATGTGGGAGTTGAGGATTCCAGCAGGTGAAGGGGAACCCCCCCGCTGAAAATCCTGGAACAGGTTGAATAGAGGAACAGGGCAGGTGGGAGCAGGGATGTGAGAGAGGAATAGGAGGCCAAGGGCGGGGGGTAGGGGGGGAAACCAGACTATGCCTGCATTTTCCCCCACCCCCAGGGAGAAACTGCAACCAGTTTTACAGGACACTCCTGGCCTTGCCCGAGATCAATGACCCCATTCAGAGAGGGTTGATGGCACTATGCAGCAATGCCGGCAGCCAAGGGGTTAACCTTAGGCCAGATGGCTCTGGGGTGGTGCGAGGGGGTGGGCCACCACCCCCTCCGGTTGCCTTGGCACCACTGTAGGCGCCTGCTCTGCCGCTGGGAACTTCCGCAGAGCCCAGGGCCCTTCGCTGCCAGTCTGCTCCCCACTCTCTGTCCCAAGTGGTTCCAGGCGCTGGACCCTTAGGCTTCGTCTGGAGTCCCATCCTCCACCCCAGGAGAGGTTGGCTCGGCCTGGCTGGTGCAGGCGGGTCCAGCCCAGGCACAGACACGCAGATGCAGTCTCTAGGGCTGCTCCTTAGCCTCCTGGGTTAGCAGCCCGGAGCCACCTGCGCTCCCTGCACGCAGCCCCCACCTCGCCGAGAAAGCCGGGGCTGAACGGGTAGGGGGCGGGGAGGGGACGAGGGTCACGGAGGTGAGGACCTCCTTTCCCCCAGCGGCAGGGGGAGATCAGAGACACCACGGAGCACAGGTCAGAAACAAGGGAGTAGAGAGGTCGGAGCCAGAGACTCGAGGCAGGGAGGAGCGAGGAGTCTCGGGCCCAGAGTGTGGGGGTGGAGGGCAGGCCCCCTGCTTCTCCTTCCAATCTCTGCTTCTCCCGGGAACCCCCTCCGCCCTCCCTGGGGCCCCGGCTCTTCCCCTCCCCCCAGACCCTGCACCCTCTGCGGATTGGTCCTCGGCCTGCTGGGGGGCGGGGCCCGAGGGCCCTGACGTCACTGGCCGAGGGGGGCGGGCGGCTGGAGGAGGGGCTGACGGGGCCCGGCTCAGCACCTCGGAGAGCTCCCTCCCCGGCCTTGTTTTGCTCTGGCATCGCTGCCGGGGGAGGGAGCGAGGGGGCCGGGCACCAGGCGCAGAGGCAGGGGAATGGCCATGGAAGGGTTGAGGGGCCGCGGCGGACAGAGGGCCCAGCCGTGATCCAGCGACGGGTTTGGGGCTCCGGGTGGGGTGGGGGGCAGCGGGCGGCGGCAGCAGTGGCCGCACATCTGGATGGAAGCGAGCTTTGTCCAGACCACCATGGCTCTGGGGCTGTCCTCCAAGAAAGCATCCTCTCGCAATGTGGCTGTGGAGCGTAAGAACCTGATCACCGTATGCAGGTGGGCACCGCTGGCGGGCGGGGGCTGGGGTGATCAGAGAGAGGGGTTGGGGTGGACTGCGGAAACCCGGACGGAGCGCTGCCGCGGAGAAAAGGGAGGGGAGCAAAGAGTCGAGAATAATGCGTCCACTGTCCCTCCCAGGCCCAGAACCCAGAGAGGGAGCTGCAGTCTGGTCCCTACCCTTCTAGGCCAAGTGGCCTATGCCGGGGCCTGGGCCTGAGGGGTGAGGGGTGTTTAATTGGTACTGCAGCTTCCTGTGAGAACCAGGAAGTGACATTGTGTGAGGGGGAAGGAGGTGGGGATGGCTGGCTCCCTTGCTGGGAGTGGGGCGGGATGGGCAGAGGGGACCCCATGGGGGGATGAATGCCCTCCAAGCATACCCTCATTGGCACCCATGTCAAACTGACCCTCTGGGGTGGGGTTCTCCAATGCTCAGATTCTGGAGCAGGGATGGGCAGGGTCAACTGGGCATGGGGGCAGAGCCCATGAATCCCTCCAGGGAAGGGAGAGGGGCACCGCCCAAGACGTGGGAAGGACCAAGAGCCTGGGTTCCAGGTTATAGGGGAGAAGACCGGGAGGGCACGGCCACTGGTCTCTGAGGGTGAACGGTTCCTGGGTTGGGAAGATTCTCCGCTATTGTGGGGCCCAGGAAGTGATCCTGTCCACTTCAAACCTGCAGTGACTCACCCTCCCTGCCCTGTCCCAAAACCAGGGCATGGCCAGCTGCTCAGCCACTCCCCCTGCAGCCCACACCTGCACTCTCCTCTGGTGCTGGGATCCCCTGTCAGCTGCAACCTCCTCTGGCCTCCATGCCTATCAGGTGTTGCTCCCTCAGGGCAGGGTGCTCCTGGGGACAGGGCTCACTCTTCCCTTGCCAGCCCCACCTGCCTGCCACGTAGGCCTCAGCTCTGCTGAAGCCCACCTGATACCCTGAGGCCCACTAGTGCCCACCTGATGCCCTGGCTCCTGGCTCCCATAGCTCCTTCCAGGTTCCTGGGCACACACCCAACCACACTGCATCTGTCTCCCAGCATCATATCCCTAGTGCCCAGCACAGTGCTGTGCACATCAGACCTCTGCAGAAATGCCTGGAACGTTAAGGAAGAAGAGAGTGTAGCAATGGCCCAGCCCACAGTGCAGGGCACTGCCTCTACCCTCATTCCCCCCAACCCCTACCAGTGTGTTGTAAAACAAAGATTTCTGTCTTTGGGGCCAGATGGTCCGAGGTTCAAGCTCTTACTCCATCAGCTTTAGCTGCGCAACCTTGAGGAGGTCTCTTAACCACTCTGGGCCTTGGGTGCCCCATCATCCTCATTTTAGATGTCACAGTCATACCAAAGAATGATAATGGCATCATCCATGTAGGAGCCTAGCTCAGTGTCTGGCACACAGAAAGAACCCTTTCCTAATGACGTTCTTCCTGGCCCTCTCTGCTCTCTACCTGCTAGGTTCCTCTTTTTTCTCTTGCCTGCCAAGTTAGCTGAGCCTCTTGAGTACGTGAGGGGAATGAGGGAACTCTCCTTGACATAGGCCAGAGAAGAAGAAGTTGAAGGGCTGAAGGTGGCTTAGAACTGGGAGGGAAGGATAGAGTTTTGGGGGGTCAGTGATGTGACAAAGGCTTAGTAACCCCTAGGCCCCTGCTGCCTCATCACTGTCACATGGTTTGCCTCCAGCTCCCAGAACAGCTCCCTTTAGCAGGCCGTGGGCTCCCCTGGGCCCTGGCCTCGCTGTCTCCATGGTAACCTGCAGCAGCCACTGCATCTCCTATCAGAGAGCACACCACGGGGCTCCCGGGGGCAATGACCACCTCTGTGGCACCTCTGAGGACAGATACCAGATGGTTGCCATGCTGAACCCAGTCCAGGCCCCATCATTGTCTGACCCAGATGACCAGGAGAAATCAAGCTGGCAGGAGGGTGGGCATAGTGAAGCTGGGATAATGCCCCAACCACAGGCTTGCTTTCAGCAGGGCCAGCCTTCCCAGCCACAGCCCCGCTCCTTACCATCCCTGCCCAGCAGCCCTAGGCACCTACCATCTCCCAACCCTTCCTGGGCTCTCAACCAAAATGTAATGAGGCAGGTACGATTGTTCCCATTTGCATTTGGCAAGAGGGGACTCAGAGAGGGGCCCAAGGCCACATGAGTGTCACAGGGAAACAGGATTTGAATCCAGCAGGCTGCCTCCCTCTAGTGCAACCCCAAGACTGACCTGGCTCTGATCTCAGGCCAGATCAACTCTAAGTTCAAAAGGAAGGGGGACAACGGCTCAGCTGTGCAATTGGCCTGAGAGCCGCAGAGGTCAGTGCTCCAGGGCTGGAGACTTGTGGTGTAGAGGACAAAGGGCGGTGGAGCAGGGGCTGCTCCAGGCCTAGGTCTTCACGATAGCTGCCAGGAGGCCACAGATGTAGCAGAAAGAGCAGAGTCTTCAGAATCAGAATCAGACATACCTGCTTGACTCCTCATAAGCCATGTAGCTCTGAACAGATCAGTCAACCTCTTGGACCATCAATTTCTTTATCTGTAAAATGGGGATGAGAGTGATAAGAGGGCCTATCTTTCAGGGCTGAGCATGGATAAGGTAGTGCAGACAAAGTACTGTGCTTGGCACATTATAGAGCTTGATAAATATAAGAAGAAAAGGACACTTCCAAGCAGCTCCCATTATCCCTGGACACCCCGCCCTTGCTCTGCCACCCACAACAGGGAAATCATGGGATGTTAGGAACTGTGTCCTCATCCCTGCCCCACTCCACTGCAGGGATGGCAGGGGGAGATTGCAGGGGTAGTGACTGCAGAGGGAGCCTGAGGCGTAGACAGGATTGGAGAGGGGGCACTGCATGGCTTCAGTCCCTCAGCTCCACAGGTTTCCCTTGGTCCCTTCCTCCTAAGAAGCTAGGCCCCCAAGCCCCTTCCAAGGATCTGCTGCCAATGCCCCCTCCTGCCCAGTGTCTGTGTCAGGCCCATACCCCGCACCTCCCCACCCCACCCCCGCCCAGCTCTGCACTGCCTGGTTCTGGGCAGCTGGTGTGTGGGAGGCCAAGCCGGGAAGGAAAGGGGGAAGGGGGTATCTGTGTGCTGGGAGCCCACCTGGCCACCTGCACATGCCCACACTCCATGTGCACAGTGCCAACTCACATGCCCTGGTACAGGTGACCCCATCCCCAAAAGGGACTGAAGGTTGTTCCAGCAATCACAGAAGACAGCTCAGGGTGGGGCACACACCGGCTTCTAACACCTAGTTGACCCAAGCCTCGCACACACAGACCCTGAAGGGTGGTCTGGGGGAACAGGCTCTGGGACCGCCCCCGGCTTGTGGCGCCTCATCTTCCTATTTTTTCAGTCCCTCTCACCCCTTGTTCCCGAAGCTTCCTTTCTCTGGGTGTCACCTCTCCTGTCACCCACTTTGTCAATCAGTCTCCCACCTGTCACCCTCCCTCCCCACCTGCCACCCTCTCACTCCACATGACATGGTACCTCTATGGTCACTGTAGTCTTGCCTGTCTCCCCGCTCCCTCTGCCCCCCACCACATCCATGCCCTTCCTGACCTCTTCTCTGCCAGTTGCTCCCTGTCTCAGCCTGTTTCCTCACCTGACACCCCACTGCCCTGTCTCCCCACCTTGCCACCCAGGTTCTCTGTGAAAACGCTGCTGGAGAAGTACACAGCGGAGCCCATCGATGACTCATCAGAGGAGTTTGTCAATTTCGCAGCCATTTTAGAGCAGATCCTCAGCCACCGCTTCAAAGGTGGGCCCAGGGTCCCTCCTCCAGTGGTCCCTCCCCAACTCCCAGCCTTTAGCTCCCAGCCACCTCATTCTGATATACTCCATGGACTCTGAATCCCCTCATTGACCCTGGCCCCCATCCTGGACCATGTGCAGAAGCTTGTGTACAGATCTGGGAAGTGGGAGACGCCTTTGGCCTACAATCCCCATCAGTGGGCAAGCTATATGCTGGGGTGCCCACTGCATACATGCATGTGTATGCACAGATCTTTGTGGGAGGAGGCTGCTTATACTTATGCATGTGAGTGCTTCACTACATGGACCCTCTCCAAACTCCCTGGTCTTGCTGAGTCCGCTCCCTGCCCTGGCTCAGCCTGTGCCCCAGCAGGTCCAGTGAGCTGGTTCAGCTCAGACGGGCAGCGGGGCTTCTGGGACTATATCCGGCTGGCCTGCAGCAAAGTGCCCAACAACTGTGTGAGCAGCATCGAGAATATGGAGAACATCAGCACAGCCCGGGCCAAGGTGAGGGGCCTGGAGCAAGCAACTGCTCTCTGCTCTGGACACAGGGGGCCTGCCTGTTTCTTGGTCCTCACCGCCTGTCCACAGCCCAGGGGAGAAGGGCCCACACCTGATGCTGGACACATGAGTCTCTCTGGGGCAGCAAGTAAAAGTGAACGTGATTTCCAGGGCCGGGCATGGATCCGGGTGGCACTGATGGAGAAGCGCATGTCAGAATACATCACCACGGCTCTGCGCGACACCCGGACCACCAGGTCAGACTTCCCAGGCAACTCAGACCACAGGCCTCAGGGTGCACCTGCATTGCCCAAACACAGCTGATCCTTAAGTTCCTGCAGCATCCTTCAGTTCCTGGACTACAAGTCCCAGGACCAGCATGCACGGCTGATTTCCCTCTTCCAGCCTGGCCTGCAGTCCCAGGACAAACTCTTTTTTTTTTTTTGAGGAGGAGTTTCACTCTTGTTGCCCAGGCTGGAGTGCGATGGTGCGATCCCAGCTCACTGCAACCTCTGCCTCCCGGGTTCAAGCCATTCTCCTGCCTCAGCCTCCTGAGTAGCTGGGATTACAGGCATAGGCCACCACGCCCTGCTAATTTTGTATTTTTAGTTACTCCATGTTGGTCAGGCTGGTCTCAAACTCCCAACCTCAGGTGATCCTCCCACCTCGGCCTCCCGAAGTGCTGGGATTACAGGAATGAGCCACCGCACCCGGCCCCAGGACAAAGTTTTACCACTGCCACCATCACTTGCAAGTCAAATCTAATGCCCATTATTCGACATCATTGCCCAGCACACTCCGCCCTGGCACACCTCTGGATGAGCCTCAGCTATGCACCATCTCATGTGTTGGCTTGCTCCATGACCTACAACACAGCCCTTCTGGCTCTCCAAACTACAGCGGCAGTTCTGTACTTGCTATTCACGGACACAGAGTCCTTATGTGGGGAGTTCAACCCCTGCACTGTGGGTTCACAGGGAGGTTGGGTGCCTGAGTCAAGGGGTTACAAGGAGAAGTGTGCCTATGTGGGCAGGTGCATCTGAAACTGTCTGGGTGTGGCAGGGGGCGTGTACCTCCGCATCCCAATTGGCCACAGCCAGCCTGATGTTTTTGCTGAATTCCATTCCTCAGTCTACACATTTCCAGGTTCAAGTCAACACATTTTTTGCGCACCTACTGTATACCAAGCACTAATGATTAAGACTCGCTTCCTGATATGAAGGATCTGGGTAACCCAGTACTTGATGAGGAAGGGGTAGCTCAGAGGGAGGAGTCGGCTCAGGGAGCACTCATTCTAGGTGATGGGGCCACAGGTGCCAGCCCCAGGCTGAGGGGGGAGAGAGGCTCCAGGCCTGCGTGCATATCAGGAAGGAGAATTGGCCTTCCTTCAGGATGGGGTGGCAGTAAGCCAACAACAGCAGCTCTGGGGAGGGACTCCAGGGACCTGCTGCACTGTCAGGCCCTCTGCCTCCCCACAGACGGTTCTACGACTCTGGAGCCATCATGCTGCGGGACGAAGCCACCATCCTCACCGGAATGCTGATCGGACTGAGCGCCATCGATTTCAGGTGGGGTCTGCCTGAGGGCAGTGGTGGAGGGGGCTGTTTCCCCGACAAATGTCCTACCCCAACCCCTCACACCCACCCCCAACCCTGTGGCTCCTCTGCCTCAGCTTCTGTCTAAAGGGGGAAGTCCTGGACGGGAAGACACCCGTGGTCATCGATTACACGCCCTACTTAAAGTTTACACAGAGGTGAGCGGCTCCATGACTGCGGCGGGGCGGGAGACGGGGGGGTCCTCAGGACATCCTGGGGACATCCTGGTCCCCCTGCCCTCGGCGGCCAGCGCAGACGCGCGTGGGGAGGGGCGGGACTGGCCGTGCCCACTACTCCCTCTCCCAAGCTACGACTACCTGACCGACGAGGAGGAGCGGCACAGCGCCGAGAGCAGCACGAGCGAGGACAACTCGCCCGAGCACCCGTACCTGCCGCTCGTCACCGACGAAGACAGCTGGTACAGCAAATGGCACAAGATGGAGCAGAAGTTCCGCATCGTCTACGCGCAGAAGGTGCGCGACGATAGCGGGTCTGGGGGGCGGGCGGGCCGGCGCGGGGGATTCGGGCATCCTGGGGCGCGGCGGGGCGGGGTGGGGCCGCGGGCCGCGGCCGGGAAGTCTTCCCCGCCGCCCGGGCTGAGCCGGCGCCCCGCAGGGCTACCTGGAGGAGCTGGTGCGTCTGCGCGAGTCGCAGTTGAAGGACCTGGAGGCGGAGAACCGGCGGCTGCAGCTGCAGCTGGAGGAGGCGGCGGCGCAGAACCAGCGCGAGAAGAGGGAGCTGGAAGGCGTGATCCTGGAGCTGCAGGAGCAGCTGTGAGCGCATGGCCTGCCCTAACCCCTGACCCCGGCCGCCCCGACCACATCATCGGGCGAACCCCATCTTCACTTCCATCGACTCTAACATCACCCGACACGAGCACCCAACTCTCCAGCATCAACCCTCTGATCCAGCCAGCCCACCCCGAGATGCCCACAATGATCTTCTAACATTGCCCCCAGCATAAGATCCAGTGACCTCCAACAGCCAGAGCCCCACTTCACCCTCAGTTACCCTTCAGCTAGAGTGGCCATCCAACCTTACTGCAGGGACCCCACGTCACTCACGAGGACCTTGGGTGTTGCTCTTCAACCTTCAACACGATTGCACACTTCCCAGCGTTCATCACCTCACTCACCTGCACCACAGGCTCACTGACCGTCATCACCCGCTGTGACCCCCGACCTCACCCCTGCCGATCCCTGTAACACTTCTTCTCTAAGCCTTTCCATCACCCTGATCTTGCGGCAGGATCCCCAAGACGACCTTACCCTTCAGGGATTCCCACACTATTCTCCACTGAAGCCCCCATCACCCCAACTGACCCCTACAACACTGTACCATTCCCTCCAACTCCCAGTCACCCCTCCACCCCAGTACCACCTCCACTTCTTCCCGGGATCTGGCCCACTGACCCCAACACCGTATCCCCATTTTTGCCGCTCAGATTTCATTCCTGACCCCTCCCTCATCCCCTTGCTGAATCTCCTTCCTCACTTCTCCTACTTCCAGCCAGGCCTGACTCCTCCTCCCCCTCCCAGGACAGGTCTGATCCCCAGTGACCACGCCCCTCTGGCCCAGGGTTCCAAGGAGCTCACTACACCCCTGGTCAACCAATGGCCCTCACTGGGAACGCTTAATGGGGCCGAGGGCGCCAGCAACTCCAAGCTCTACCGGAGGTAAGCCCCAGCCGGGTGCGGCTTGGGCCTGCGAGCGGGTCGTCCTGGGGAAGAAGGGCTTCCTCTACCGGTGCACCAGCTCTCGCTCTGCCGCAGACACAGCTTCATGAGCACGGAGCCCCTGTCAGCTGAAGCCAGTCTGAGCTCGGACTCCCAGCGCCTGGGAGAGGGCACACGGGACGAGGAGCCCTGGGGTCCCATTGGTGAGCTCCCCCAACCCCAACACCCGGTACCCCTCCAGGAAGGGCTGAGGCAAGGCCCTGAGGCCTCGAGGCAGGTCCTAGCCCATTGCCTCTTTCATTCTCTCAGCCTTTCTTTTCTTTTTTTTTTTTTTTTTTTTTTTTTTTTGAGACAGAATCTCACTCTGTCATCCAGGCTGGAGTGCAGTGGTGCAATCTCAGTTCGTTGTAACCTCCGCCTCCCGGGTTCAAGGGATTCCCTTGCCTCAGCCTCCTGAGTAGCTGCCATTAAAGGCTCCCGCCACCACACGTGGCTAATTTGTGTATTTTTAGAGACGCGCGGCTAATTGGTGCATTTTTAGTAGAGACAGTTTCGCCAGGCTGGTCTTGAACTCCTGACCTCAAGTGATTCACCCGGCTCAGCCTCCCAAAGTGCTGGGATTACAGGCGTGAGCCACTGTGCCCGGCCTCTCTCGGCCTTTTTTGAGGGCTTAGCACAGCAATTGAGAGCTTACTTGGGGTGTCAGAACCCAGCATATGCAGAACCCAACATAAATCCTGGCTGTGCTTCCTCTAACCATGTGAGCTTGGTCAATCACTTTATCTCCATGAGTCCATTCTTTGTAAAATGGGGATGTTGATAATCACCAGTGTTGTCATGTGGTGAGGGCTTAGTGGCTTTTTAGTGTCATGACATCCTCAGGGGGCTCACAAACTCTAGAGGAACTCCTCAGACTAATTTGCTCTTATCTCATGCACACTGTGAACTACTTGCCTGACCATTGTTTTCCCCTTCTCTTTGGCTGCCAGGAAGCTCAGAGCCAAATTAGTGGCTCCCTTCGAGCGAATGCCCAGGACTTCAACGCATGCACTTTGTGTTGACCTCATCCCTGGCTTCACCTTGGTTTTTCCCATCCTAGTTCTCCCTATGCCTGGATAACCCGTCTTTTCTTTTTTATAAGCAACCACACTGTATTGGATGACCCTAGACCTTCTTTGAGACAAGGCAGGCTGTGGCCATGTAGCCCCATCACACTGTTTGTGATTGTCTGTGTGTCTGTCTCCCCCACCAGACTGTGAGCTCCGTGAGGGCAGGGACCGTGTCTTGTCCGTTCTCTGTATCCCCAGTGCTTGGAACAGAGCGAGTGCTCACTGTGTATTTAATAAATGGACAAAGAGAGAGGATGACCCTCAGGGGGAGACAGAGACATCAACTGACGATTACAATACAGTGTCCCCGGCGCCGTGCCTGGCACAGGCAGGTGCTTAACCAAAGTTTAACTGAAAATGGCAAATGCTCTGGAATATATCAAGGTCCCCTGGGGGGTGACTTGAGGGCTGCCCTTTCACTGCCCACCCCTCTACCAACTCCCACACATGCAGACTGGTTGCCCGGCCTCACCCGCCCTCTCTCCCCAGGGAAGGACCCCACGCCCTCCATGCTGGGCCTCTGCGGCTCCCTGGCCTCCATTCCCAGCTGCAAGTCCCTGGCGAGCTTCAAATCCAACGAGTGCCTGGTGAGCGACAGTCCCGAGGGCAGCCCGGCACTGAGCCCCAGCTGAGGAACGGCATGGGCAGTGCTAGCCCCACCTGCCAGGGGCCATGGACACCTGCCACCCTTCTTCAACAAGAGTCCCCCAGTCCAGGCTACCCTTGCAGAGAACGCTGCCCACCAAGCCAGGGTTCTCTCGGGGAAGATCCCCTCTACTCACCTTAGCTTCCTTGCCTGTGGCAGCACGGGCTGCGGAGGAAAGCAGGCTGAGCCAGGAGGCAGGGGTGCCCAAGCCGCAGGGACCCCTGGGGAAGCCTGCTCCATTCTTCTGGTGACCCTGGCACTCCCTCACTCATCTCCCCTTCCCCCTCAGGAGCTGGTGGCCCAGTTTCCACACCCCCACAGCCTGTCCATCTGTCCCTGTGTATGCCCTGGAGTCACTCCTTCCTCAGCCCCCAGGGCAGGAGCTCTGCGGGGGATCAGGCAAATAAAAACCAGAGGACTGAGGGCAGCCTTGTATGTGGGGGGCTGGGGAAGGGCCCCGTCCTGAGGTCTGAAGTAGTCAGTGCCTGGCCCGTGACCAAGGTCAGGCAGCACTAGCATGTGCCCTGTAGGGACAGGCAGGCCAGCACTCAGGGAGTGGGTAGCTTCTGTGTTAAGTGCCCAAAATATTAGGTCTGCCCAGGGCAGGCCCAAGACATGCAAGTGCCCTCCAACCCAACAGCCTTTAAGAATTCGCTCAATCCGGCCGGGCGCGGTGGCTCAAGCCTGTAATCCCAGCACTTTGGGAGGCCGAGACGGGCGGATCACGAGGTCAGGAGATCGAGACCATCCTGGCTAACACGGTGAAACCCCGTCTCTATTAAGAAATACAAAAAACTAGCCGGGAGAGGTGGCGGGCGCCTGTAGTCCCAGCTACTCAGGAGGCTGAGGCAGGAGAATGGCGTAAACCCGGGAGGCGGAGCTTGCAGTGAGCTGAGATCCGGCCACTGCACTCCAGCCTGGGTGACAGAGCGAGACTCCGTCTCAAAAAAAAAAAAAAAAAAAAAAAAAAAAAGAATTCGCTCAATCCCAGGCTGAGGAGGCAGAGCACGCCGGGGGCAGGATGGAGGCACACCCTGGTGGGGCCAGTGCCCTGTGCTGGCCTCAGCAATGGTGCTTTAGCCCAAAGTTGCAGACTCCTCTTAGGCCAGAGCCTGGCAGTTAAGCAGCCCTCACTCCTCTGCTGTCGCTTAAATGTGCCCTTAAGGAGAGATGTTACCATCCCCAATTTTTTTTTTTTTTTTTGAGATGGAGTCTCGCTCTGTTGCCAGGCTGGAGTGCAGGGGCGCCATTTCGGCTCACTGCAAACTCCGCTTTCCGGGTTCAAGGGATTCTCCTGCCCCAGCCTTCCGAGTAGCTGGGACTTGACAGGCGCCCGCCACCATGCCCAGCTAACTTCTGTATTTTTAGTAGAGACGAGGTTTCACCGTGTTAGCCAGGATGGTCTTGATCTCTTGCCCTTGTGATCCACCCGCCTTGGCCTCCCAAAGCACTGGGATTACAGGCGTGAGCCACCATGCCCGGCTCCTACCATCCCCTATTCTAACCCTAACATGGGGGTGGTCCCCAAAGGGACCTCACCATCAGAATATCTACTTGTGGTCCCTCACACTCTAGGTCCTCACCCGGACTGACTCTCACCAAGCTGGAGAGGTCCTCTTTATGGGTGCCACCCTGGGCAGCCAAACCAGCACCAGGGTCCCTCCCAATCCTCCCTCCCAGCCACCCCAGGCCCCAAAAGGACAGGCGCCAGGCAGAAGTTCATCATCTTTACACTTAAGGAATGAACAGGGGTCAGGGAGACTATGCCAGGCTGAGGGTTTCTCGGTTTCCGGAGACAGGCCCAGCTACAGCAAACACAGGGCAACACGAAGGGGGCAGCTGGAAGATTTGGTCTTGAACTTGGGGGGTGGGAAAGTGATGATCCCCACGATTGGAGCAGCAGGAAGAAGTTGCGTCTGAGGAAGGGCTGGGCCGCCCAGAGGGACAGCCCTGCCCTGGAGCTTGTCGCTAGCAGGGAAGGGAAACAAGCCCCCTCCCTCAGTGCTGAGAAAAAGGCACTTGGCTGGGTATCCTCCTGCCCTCTCCCCATCCATGGGAGAGACGGGGTCCTTGCCTCCATGCCCCTTTCAGCTGCCCAGAAGCCGGTCCTGGTTCAGCCTCTGGAAGAAGCTTTTGCCAAACTCGTAGGTGCTGATCATGATGGCGCAGGAGGGGGCAGCCTTGATGATCCGAGGAAGGAAGCCTGCAGTGGAAAGGAGACCTGGGTCAGGGGTCAGGATCGCAGGCCCCGCCCTGCGCCCAACCCCAACACCCACACACTGACCTGCAAAGAGTCCCTTGGTGCCAGACTCGGCGCGGATCCTCCGCAGCAGCAGCCAGGTGGAGCTCACATGCAGGGGGCTCACTGCAAACGCGACGCCAGCTCAGTGAGGCCCCATTCAGGACCCTGCCTGTCCCCTGCTACACCCGTCTGGGCCCTCACCTCTCACAGCCTCCATTGCTCCCAGCGCGACCTGGCGTTGGGTCTTCACCACATCAAAGGGTAGAGTCAGCACTGCAGCCACCTGGTGGGGCGGGCAGGGACAGGGCTCAGCTCCACTTCCAGGACCCCCAGCCCTTCCTCCCAGATGGCTCTTGCGGCTGGGAGGGACAAAGGCCTCATGGGGTCTGCTTCTGGGCATCTCCAAAAACCCTCAGGACCCCCCCAGGGAGACCTCCACTGGCCTCACCTCCAGCCCAGTCCACTCACCGTCCCTGAGATGCCACCAGCCACAAAGCTCATGCCCACAGAAGTCTGGTCCTTCGGCCTGAGTCCATTCAGCCAGCTCTTCACCAGCTCATAGTTGAACCAGTACAGGGCTTGGGGAGGGGGATGCACTGATTAGAGATGGGGAGGGCAAGGAGGTAGTCCCAGACCTTCCATCTTTCACTGCCACTACTCCCTCCCAGCTGTGAGTGTTCTCTGCTACATGCAGGCTCGGAAGCAGGCTCTCTGTAGGAATTAATCTCCTGACAGCCTGGGCAAATACTCTACCTGCTACACCCATTTCACAGCTGAGAAACCCATGGCTCAGAAAAGCTAAGTAACTTCGTGGTTACTAGTTACAAAGCTGGGAGTTGGCCGTAGACCCTTTGTGTATCACCCCAGGGTTCCCTCATCCACCCCCTACAGCCCAGGTGCCTACCTGAGAAGGGCACATCTCGAAGGGCAGTGGGGCCCCAGCCCAGCCACAGTGAGCGCCAGCCACCCTGAGCCACCGCAGCTCGAACACAGGCACCCAGCTCCCGGTACGACACATGCCGAGCCTGCAGCTTTGTCCGCATAAGCTCCAGGGGGCTGACCACAGTCACGGTGCCCACTGTGCGGGGATTGGGGTGACAGTGTGGAGAAGTCAGGTCACAGGTCTTACATGGCATCATGTAACTCCTGCCCCAGGTCTAGGGACCTAGAACATCCCCCGCACCCCCAGGCTGGCAGAGGTTGGGGCTGGGAGCTGGGACTGACTGGGCTTGGGCAGAGCTGGGGACAGAGGGAGGTCAACGGCCCAAGACTATGCTCACAGCGGGCCAGAGCGCCAGCCACCATGGGTGCGTAGAGGTCAGAGGTCAGGGCTCGACCACATAGGAAGGCCTTGAGTTGGTCGTAGGCAGTGAAGTAGATGGCGGTAGCTGGCACAGTCATCACCCTGGAGATACGGAGAGAGGTTAGCTGGGACTCCCAAAAGGACCCAAACTTTTAAAGCATCACCTGCCCCACCTAGCCATTCAATAGGGCGCAAGGGGTCAGGAGGTACCAGAGAAGAGGGGTGCAGGACCCGGCTACTCACAGGGTGGCGGGGAGGCCGCTCCAGAGGGTCCTGGTGCCCTCATGCCTCACGATCTTCACGAAGGCGTCCTGGCCAAGCAGGCACCAGCCCAGGGGAAGAGGAGGGACACAAGTGAGGTCTGTGATGGGGCTGGCCTAGGCTGGGCCTTTGCCTGACGCCCTCAGCCTCTGCCCACAGCCCTCAAGCCTCCCTGCCTCTACACGTGCAATACCCCAGTTGGGTCCAGGTGGACACCTGGTCACCCTTCAAAAACCTCATGGAGGCCAGGCACAGTGGCTCACACCTATAATCCCAGCCAGCACTTTGGGAGGCCAAGGCGGATAAATCACTTGAGGCAGGAGTTCAAGACCAGCCTGGCCAACGTGGCAAAACCCCGTCTCTACTAAAAATACAAAAATTAGCGTCTACTAAAAATACAAACATTAGCGGCAGGTGCTGATGCACGCCTGTAATCCCAGCTATTTGGGAGGCTGAGGCAGAAGAATCACTTGAACCCAAGAGGTGGAGGTTGCAGTGAGCTGAGATCACGCCACCGCACTCCAGCCTGGGCGACAGAGCCAGACTCCATCTAAAAAGAAAACAACACCTCAAAGAGATACTGCCTTCTCCGGAAGCACTTTCCGACTGAACTGGCTGCCTCTGCGTGCCTTGCCCAACCCCTTCTTTCCTGGGGCTGCTGCCCAGCCAGACCCAACTCGTCACAGACACTGGCGAATCCCTATGGACCCAGTTGCTCCTCACCATGGTGCCAGTGAAACGGGTAGGGTCTTGAAACCAGGTGGCACAGCGGGCACCATTTGGGCACAGGTACAGGGGCTCCAGGACACCATTGCAGTACAGGAGGCACTTCCCTGTGGATTGGAGAGAGGAGGGCACTGGGGAAAGGCAAGGGACGTTATAATGACAGGACCCTAGAACCTTGCAGGGAGGCAGTGGGCCCCTATCCCTGGAAGGCCAGTAAAGGCCAGGTCCCTGTGTGGATGTTCTGGTGCAGGTCATGGGACTGGCTGGCGGGACCTGGGAGTATACACTAGTCCATGGCTGTGGAGTCCACTGGTGCCCTGGGGACAGGGACAAGGACTCTCTCCCCCTTGCACCCTCCCAGGCTCCCTGTGGCTTGGGGCACTCACATTTGGTATAGGAGAGGCTCCACAGTCTGGAGGAAGGCGTCAGCTCTAAAATACAAGGCAGCCCCTCAAGTCAGGAGAGCCCCCACCCGCCCCAGGGACCCCATCTCTGGAAGATCTTTTTATTTTATTTTTTGAGATACAGTCTTGCTCTGTCGCCCACCCTGGAGCATAGTTGCACAATCTCAGCTCACTGCAACTTCCACCTCCCGGGTTCAAGCGATTCTCCTGCCTTAGCCTCCCGAGTGGCTGGGACTACAGGCGCCCGCCACCAAGCCCAGCTAATTTTTGTAGTTTTAGTAGTGAGGGGGTTTCACCATGTTGGCCAGGCTGGTCTTGAACTCCTGACCTCAGGTGATCCGCCCGCCTCAGCCTCCCAAAGCGCTGGGATTACAGGTGTGAGAAACCACGGCTGGCCTCTGGGAGATCTTTCTTTTGCCCAGGCACCACCCCTCACTAGCTCCAGGTCAGGTACTCACCGCTGGCCATGGAGGGCCGCTGAGACTGCAGACGAACCTTCACCACGTCCAGGGGTGTCACTGGGGGAGGAAGTGGGTCTGAGGGCTCCTTTCAGGACCCCACCCCTAGGACTCCTCCCCCAGGACCACACAGCCTCCAATCTCTGGTCTGCCCCATCCCCACCTGCCCCCACCCCACCTCCCAAGGTCTTACTGAAGAGGGAGGTGACCACAGCCCCAGCGCCTGAGGCCACCATTTGCTGGAGGGAGCTGATACCCCCAAGGTCTTGCTCAGCCATCTTGAAGCTTCAGTCCTGAAAACCAAACCTCAAATGGAGCAAAATTCCAGGGATGGCAGGAAAGGAGGCAGGGCCACTGTGAGACTTTTTCTTTGAGACGGAGTCTCGCTCTGCACACTGTCGCCAGGCTAGAGTGCAGTGGCACCACCTCGGCTCACTGCAACCTCCACACCCACCTCCCACTAACCCCCGTTCATGCTATTCTCTCGCCTCAGCCTCCGAAGTAGCTGGAACTACAAGCTCGCACCACCTCGCCTAGCTAATTTTTGTATTTTTAGTAGAGACGGAGTTTTACCATGTTGGCCAAGATGGTCTCAATCTTCTGACCTCGTGATCCGCCCGCCTAGGCTTCCCCAAGCACTGGAATTACAGGCGGGTGCCACCGCGCCCGGCCCGCTATGAGACTTTAACCCGACCCTTACCCACCGCCCTTGAAACATCAGTTGCCTCAACAACCCTGGCAATGACCTCTAAAGCAGGGACTGTCCGCCCCACTCCGCCGGGGAAAACTAAGGCTTGGGGAGACGAGGTGGCCTGCCCAAGGTCACTCAGGAGTGGCTCCGAAGGAAGCTGGGGTGCCAGACCTATCTCTCGATTGCAATAGGGGCCAGGGCCGTTCCCTCGTCTACCTCGCACGTGTCCACTGCGCACCTCCTACGTGCAGGCGCGGGTTTGGCCCTCGTGGCCCCAAAATCAGAGTACCTGTGTTGCCCCTGCAGCCCCCACTCCAGCACCAAGGCCCCGGGCGGGCACCTGCGAGCCCAAGTTACCGGGCGTGGAGGAACGGCCGGGCACCGCGGGTGACGCGTAAACAGATCTAGTGACCACAAAGGGCCCGTCGCCTCCTCGGGACTGCGGGCTGGGATGCCCGGCCCTCCCCGCACGGCCGAACGGGCCAGACCTGGGGCCCGTAGAGAAAGAGCAGTCTCTGGCCTCCCGCCCCAAAATACAGGCCCGGGGCGCAGCCGAGAGAGCGGGAAGTAGGGACGTAGAGCCAGGATCTCTCCCCGACGCTCGGCTACACTCCCGGCACCGGAGCGCGCAGAGCCGCCAGGTGAGGAGGACCACGCCAGCCCGACGGCCCCAGCACCGGCCCTGGCTCGCACGGCCGCCCGGAGACCCCCGCTTCTGTCTCCGTCCCCAGCCCTGGCCCAGCACCGCCTACCTGGCTCTAGGCTGGTGCTCGTGCGGCTCGGAGCCCAGGGCCGGGCGGGCCCATACCGGCTCCGGCGCCAGTGCGGGGTCCGCGCGCCCTCGCCGAGCACCCGGGCCAACGCCGAAAGAAGCCAAGTGGGCCCCGCCCCCACACCGCTGCGCGAGGCCCCGCCCGACGCGGGCCGACCATCCGCAAACCCGGAGTGTCTCCGGCTCCGCCCACTCGCGTCTCCGCTGTGACCTGCGGCGGTCCCGCCCCCTTGCCGGGGCCGCGCGGGCAGGTTCCAAGCCTGTCTAGCGCTAAGACCTGCAGGCCAACGTCGCGGTCTCCACGTCGCGCTAAAACCTGGCAGCAGCAGGCACTTCCAGCATCTTTTTTTAGACAGCATCTTTTTCAGCCTCGCTCTGTCGCCCAGGCTGGAGGGCAGTGGCGCGATCTTGGCTCACTGCAGCCTCGACCTCCCGAGCTCAAGCGATCCTCCCGCCTCAGCCTCCCGAGTAGCTGGGACAACAAGAGCGCGCCGCCACGCCCGGCTTGTTTGTTATTTTTATTTTTGTCTCCCTAGGTTGCCCAGGCTAGTCTGGAACTCCTGGGCTCAAGCGATCCGCCCACCTCGGTCTCCGAAAGTGCTGGGATTCCAGGCGTGAGTCGCCGCGCCGTCCTTAACAGCGCATTTGCACCAGCCCCGCCCTGGCCGCGCGCGGCACTGGGAGCCCCAGCGCCTTCCGGACGGCGAGGGTGATGCACTGGCCCCCTTCCTCGGGGTCCTCAGGTGCGTGGCGGCGGCAGTGAGAATGAGTTATTCGAGATCGCCGAGAGAACGCACAATAACGGCGAAGTTACTTGCCGGGCTCCCCGCCGAGACTTGAAAACTTCTCGACGACTTCTCTCGCCGGCCTTAGCATCGCCCCCATTTTGCAGGTTACGGAACAGGCCTGCAACTGCAAAACGCTTTGTAAACCACAGGGCCCCGCGCGGGTGTCCGCCGCTGGGTGAGCCGAGCTACAGCCCGGGCCGGGCGGGCTGGGACGAGAGCAGGCCGGGGGAGCCGGGAAAGCCATGGGGAGCCACATCCCACTTCCGCGTGACCTTGAGCAAATCACAACCCCGCCTAAGGCCCAGAATGACTCCCGCGCGGGAAGGGAATGCGCACTGAGGGCGGGAGGACACCGACGTTTTGCTGTTGGTTGCTCTCGTATCGTGATTTCTTCTGAGTCTCAAAACTCTTTGCAGTAGGTTATTGTTGAAATAGATGACCCCAACCCCAAGCCGAGCGCGGTGGCTCACGCCTGTAATCCAGCACTTTAGGAGGCCGAGGCGGGCGGATCACTTGAAGTCAGGAGTTCGAGACCAGTCTGGCCAATATGGTGAAACCCCGTCTCTACTAAAAATACAAAATTAGCCAGGCATGGTGGCGGGCCCCTGTAATCCCAGCTACTCGGGACGCTGAGGCAGGAGAATCGCTTGAACCCGGGAGGCGGAGGTTGCAGTGAGCCAAGATGGCACCACTGCATTCCAGACTGGGCAACAGAGTGAGACTCCGTCTCAGAAAAAAAGGCCGAGCGCGGTGGCTCATGCCTGTAATCCCAGCCTTTTGGGAGGTCGAGGCGGGCGGATCACCAGAGGTCAGGAGTTCGAGAGCAGCCTGACCAACATGGTGAAACCTCGTCTCTACTAAAAATACAAAAAATTAGCTGGGTGTGGTGGCTTATGCTGGTAATCCCAGCTACTCGGGAGGCTGAGGCAGGAGAATCGCTTAAACCCGGGAGGCGGAGGTTGCGGTGAGCCGAGACTGCGCCATTGCACTCCAGCCTGGGCAACAAGAGCGAAACTCCGTCTCAAAAAGAAAAATAAATAGATTACCCCATTTTACAGAGAGTGAAACTGAGGCTCGACGTGAAGAGCCCGAGATTCGAACCGGCCGGTGCTTTTCCCACGGCCCTCACACTGCCTCCTCAGGAGACAGGCGGGCTTAAGTCCAGCACTGCCCTCTCCCATCCCGCTTGTCAGGGAGATACTTTATTTCCCGGGGCAACCCCGTACCCCAGGCTCCACCACCCACCTCGCGTTTAGAACTTTTGCGCCATCGTGCTTATTTGTCCTAACAGAGAAACCAGCACGCGGGGGCGGGGGGAGGAGGCGGTGGGCTAACCTGCGCCTTTAAGAAGGGTAGGCCTTAACTTTGACGTCACCGCCTTCCCCGCCCCTCATTCCCCTACTGGTCGCGTTCGGCGCTGGAGCAGCGCAGTCAGCCGGCGCCTGCCGGGTTAGCACGTGGATGTCGAGGAGCCAACTATCAGCTTTCCCTGAGAGAATGCCTTTGGGCTCCGCCAGAGCTCGGAAACTCCAGCTTGGGAGCAGGGAGAGTGCAATCTGTGGCCTGTAAAGGGGCCGCTGGGCAAAAGGACCCGAGAGAAGGTGTCCTTTCCATTCCCCTCCCACCTCAAGCTGAGTTCAGAAATGACACGAAATAATTTTATCAACTATCATTCAAGGTCGGGCTCACGTCTGTAATCCCAGCACTTTGGGGGGCCGAGGTGGGCAGATCACCTGAGGACAGGAGTTCGAGACCAGCCTGACCAACATGATGAAACCCCGTCTCTACTAAAAATACAAAAATTAGCCGGCCGTGGTGGTGCGCACCTTTACTCTCAGCTAATAGGGAGGCTGAGGCTGCAGAATCGCTTGATCCCGCGAGGTCGAGGCTGCAGTGAGCCGAGGTTGCACCACTGCACTCCAGCCTGGATGACACAGGGAGACTCTGTCTCAAAAAATAATAGGTAGATAGATAGATAAACAAACTATCAGTCAAGGTGAGAACCTACTCTCCACCAACGTTCTTTACAACTTCAACGTTTTGGTTTACAGAACAGGGGAGGAAACTGACGGCTCTTGTGTGTAGTGATTTTACTGGTGTGGAGGAGAACCCAGACTTTCCCTGCACACACTCTCCCGTTTTACAGATGAGAAAAGGGAGGCCCTCAAGGTCACTCAAATAAAAGAGTCAGCATTAGATCCCCCAAAGTGCCTGAGCCAGATGAGCGCCCACCCTTTCCAGTTCTCAGCCCAGATGCTCTGCTCCAGCAGCGCCCTGACCTGGCTTTCCATCTCGCCTGCCTCTTACAAGCGTCTTAAGACCTCTAAGCTTTAGTTTCCCCATTTACAAAATGAGCTGATGGTGATGATAATGCACCTTCCCTACGGATTATGTAAGGATTGAATGCATTAATAGCTGTGACGTGCTTAGAACCCTGGCCCATGGCAAGCATTCTATGACGACAACTACTGTTGCTGTTACTGTATTGTTATTAATTGCTCTCTAGAACCTGTGGCATGGAAAGTTCCCCAGATTCTGGCCCCACCTCTGCCTCTAATATACAGTCATGGATAATAATATCTCCTTATACCCAGAACGAAGGTCACCAGCGCAAAGTAGTACAGCCAGGAATCAAACCTGGGGACCTCTGAGCGTGTTTCCCCAACAGTACTTTGAGGGCCTTGCACTCCATTTCCGGTTTTCTTTTTGTGATGATCTCAGATAGGATCCTTAGAGATTTGTCAATACACCTGTTTCCTCATCTGAAAATGAAGACCATATCACCTGCCCTCCCTAATGTACAGATTCTTAATATCATGTCTGAAAGCCACATGAAGAGTCAATAAACAGTCCTGTGAGCCCTGCCAGGGGCCCAGAGCCGTGTGGATCACAGTCCTTGCCTTCTGCAGAATGTAAATGCTTTGAAGCTTAGAGAACCATGTGGCCTCATGGGTGTGACCAAAGCAGTGGCCACTGGAGAGGTTATCCATGGGTGATGGGACACCTCTGGACCTCATGAAGTCTCTCCCAAGAATGACTGTGGCAGGTCAGGGTGGAGAAGGAGCCTTGACATGCTCCAGAAGTTCTGGAGGCCTGACTCGACACGCCCACTCACGAGGAGCAAGCCTGGAAGGCTGCAGAGGTGGCCACTGACCTGGCTGACTCAGGCAAGGTTTATGTGTGTATGTGTGTGCGTGTATATATGTATATTTGTGTGTGTATATGTGTGTGTGCACCCAGTGGTCTTTCCAGAGGCAACACGTAGCCCCATGTGGCCGTCTGCAGCTTCCTCGCACAGATGGAAAAGCAGAAACTCTCCCTTTTTACCTGTAAAAGGGGAGAAGAAAGTACCAGCTGCAGAGGTGGTTGTGGAGACCGAGGGACCAGTCCTCACCTGATACCCAAAGGGCCAGTTTATTACAAGGCTGAATTTGTCCAGGGCAAGCCCTGGGACAGGGGCAGTGTCCCATCCAGCTCGCACCTCCAGGGCCTAGGAAGACATCTCTGGGGCTGAAGTGGGACTCAAGGGCTTCACCCATGGATGGGACCACACCAGCACCTCTGAGTCCCGGGCCAGCACTGTCTGTATCTAGAGCAGCCTCCCAAAGCAGGGCCCAGGGCTTCGGAACCTCTGAGGCCCCCGCCCCCTATTGCCCAGCGGAAAAGTCCAAATCCCAGGTCCACAGCTAAATGTAGTCTGATCTTTAATGGATTCTGAGGATGGAAAGGAGTAGGGGAGTGATGGAGGACTTTATTGGAACAAATGGAGAAAATGGAATAAGGTCTGTATGATAGATATTACTTTTTTTTTTTTTTTTGAGACGGAGTCTCTCTCTGTTGCCCAGGCTGGAGTGCAGTGGCCGGATCTCAGCTCACTGCAAGCTCCGCCTCCCGGGTTTACACCATTCTCCTGCCTCAGCCTCCCGAGGAGCTGGGACTACAGGCGCCCGCCACCTCGCCCGGCTAATTTTTTTAATGTTTTTTAGTAGAGACGGGGTTTCACCGTGTTAGGCAGGATGGTCTCGATCTCCTGACCTTGTGATCCACCCGTCTCGGCCTCCCAAAGTGCTGGGATTACAGACTTGAGCCACCGCGCCCGGCCCAACTTTTTTTTTTTTGAGACAAAGTCTTGCTCTGCGCCACCATGCCCGGCTAATTTTTGTTTTTTTTGTTTTTTTGTTTTTGTTTGTTTGTTTAGTAGAGACCAGGTTTCCCATATTGGCCAGGATGGTCTCAAACTCCTGACCTCAGGTGATCCACCCACCTTGGCCTCCCAAAGTGCTGAGATTTCAGGCATGAGCCACCATGCCTGGCCTCCTGGGTTCAAGCAATTCTCTTGTCTCAGCTTCCTGAGTAGCTGGGATTACAGGTATTACCACCATGCCCGGCTAATTTTTGTATTTTCAGTAGAGACG